GGCATCAGGATTGGAGGAAGACTCGTGAACAACCTGTGTTATGCAGATGACACAACCTTCCTTGCTAAAAGTGACGAGAACTTGAAGTACTTACTGATGAAGATCAAAGACTACAGCCTTCAGTCTGGATTACACCTCAACATAAAGAAAATTAAAAATCCTCATAACTGGACCTGTGAGTGACATCATGATAAACAGAGAAAAGATTGACGTTGTCAAAGATTTCATCTTACTTGGATCTACAGTCAACGCCCATGGAAGCAGTGGTCAATAAATCAAACGACGTATTGTATTGGACAAATCTGCTGCAAAAGACTTCTTTAAAGTGTTAAAAAGCAAAGATGTCACTTCAAGGACTAAGGTGCACCTGACCTGAGCCATGGTGTTTTCAATCGCCTTATATGCATGTGAAAGCTGGACAATGAATAAGGAAGACCGAAGAAGAACTGATGTCTTTAAATTATGGTGTTGGCAAAGAATATTGAATATACCATGGATTGCCAAAAGAACGAATCAATCTGTCTTGGAAGAAGTACAGCCAGAATGCTCCTTAGAGGCAAGGATGGCAAGACTTTGTCTCACATACTTTGGACACATTATCAGGAGGAATCAGTCCCTGGAGAAGGACATCATGCTTAGTAAAGAGAGGAAGACCCTCAATGAGATAGATTGACACAGTGGCTGCAGCAACGGGCTTAAGCATAACAATGATTATGAGGATGGCACAGGACTGGGCAGTGTTTTGTTCCGTTGTACACAGGGTCACTGCGGGTCAACACTGACTCAATGGTGCCTAACAACAACATGTACAATAGCATGCTGCCTGGTCCTGCATCATCCTTCCAATTGTCAGCATGTTTGAGTCTATCGTTGTGGCTATGGTGCCAATCCATCCCACTGAGGGTTTCCTACGCCCTTGTTGGCCCTCTGCTTCACCAAATATGATGTCTTCTTGTAGCAATTGATCTTTTCTGATGATGTGCCCTAAGTGAGTCAGAGTGTCGGACACTATTCTGTGATCCATAGGGTTTTCATTGGCTAATTTTTGGAAGTAGATAGCCAGGCCTTTTTCCCTAGTCTATCTTAGCATGGAAGCTCTGCTAAAACCTGTCCACCACAGGTGACCCTGCTGGTATTTGAAATACGTGTGGCATAGCTTCCAGCATCATAGCAATATGCCACAGTATGACAGATGGGTGGTGGCCCAGCCCTGTATCTGGATTAAACACTCCTGGGACTTCCCACTCTCCCACAGCAGGGCTCAGATTCTCTCTGTGGCCTCTATAGCTGTCTGGTCCAACCCCTGCCTGCCTCTCCAGATGTCCCTGGGGCCTCTTCTCCCTCATTACCTCTGTTCCTTTCATCTCCTTCTTAGCTCAGGGCCTTTGTAAGGGCAGGTCTCTCTGCTGGCATGCCTTCTCCACCCCCACCCTTTTCCCTGCTGCCTCCTCATTCTTTACTCTCAGTTCAGGCATGACTTCCCTTTGGAAGGCTTCCCTGACCCTCCCCAGATGAGGTCATACCCTGTTCCCGCATTGTACATGGTCATGTGTGTGTATTTCTATGTACTTTTTTCTACTTAGCATTAATCACAGTTTGTAATCATATTTATTTGTGCAGTTCTTGACTAATGTGGGCTGCCCTCTCTAGATTGAAAGGAAAGACCTGGGTAGGTCATCACTGTATTCCTTGATTTTTTGTTTTTAGAAACATTACTTGGTACAGAATAAGCACTTGATCAATGTTCGTTAAAGAATGAATAAATGATTGTATGTATAGGAGGCACCTCAGTGTCCCAAGCCTTCCTAAGGAAATGATAGGCTTTAGCCATCTTTTATATGAGTGACAGGGTAGCCTTCATCCCCCTCCCCAGTAAAGAAAGCAAGTGGAGGTGCTGGCTGGGGCGGAACAGGAAGAGCAGTTATGGTCCGGGTAAATGGCTGGAGAGGCAGCTCTTCCCAGCTCACAGTCCTCAACTGGGAGTGTCTGGCTGGACCACCAAGGCAGCCTGGACTTTCTTTCTTCCTTTTTTTAAAATTAATATTTTATTTTATTTTTGGTGAAAACATACACCGCAAAACCTGCTCCCATTCCACAGTTTCTAGACATAATGATCAGCGACGTTGGTTAATCCTTCACATTGTGTCAACATTCTCGTTATTTCTGTTCTAGTTGTTTCACTCCCATTAAGGTAAACTCCCTTCCCCCCAACCTTAGCCTGGACTTTCTTACAGGCCCAGCCGACAGGTGCCTGTAAGAAAGTGTTCAGACAACCAGAGCAGGACAGTGCCAGTTCTCTTCCTGTGGCTGCCTGTGCTCAGAGTATGTGTGGTGTCCTCGGGGGGAAGTGCCTCCAAGGACCCCCTACACAAGCCCTGAGAGCCATGTGCACTGAGCCTTACTCTGTGCCAGGCCCTACTCAGGAAGCAGAGGTGAGGAGCTCTCAGCTTCATCGTGTTCTCTGAGTGTCCTCAGTGGAGGTGAAGCTCTGCCCTTCCACAATCCATGGGGGTGGATTGTGCCAGAGGACCTCTGTGGGAGAACAGCCTGGTAGACTGGGAGAGGCCTCGGTTGGAGGGCAGAGTTGGGGCATGTCTGAAGGAGCAGCAGGAGGGAGGGTTGGGCCAGTGGGGTGGGGCGAGACCTTGGTGGGAGTCATCAGGAGATGACTGACAGGCAGGATGGGACTTGGGAATATAATTGAAATTGATAGGTGGGGAGAAGTCTCTTGAAAGTGGCTATGGTCTCTCTGACTGGGAGAAACTTGGTGGGAGCACTAAGGACTGAGGCCAAGATCCAGCTTTGGCAGGAGCGACTGGGGCCATGAGGAAGAAGGAGCTATGAGGATGATGCTCTCTGGGAGGAGCCAGCACCTGTCTCGTGGGAGGCCAATGTCACAGGCTTCCAGAGGAGGATCCCAGGCTTTAGGCTGAGGATTGTTGGTCAGACAGACCGGCTTCCTTCTTGGCCCACGTGTGGCATGTGTCTGGTCATTCAGACTGTGGCCCAGCCTATGGTATCCTCTTGGGCCAAAATTGCTGTGGGATCCATTTTCTCAGGAGCTCATGAGCTGCCTCTGAAGGCCTTTACCATAAAGGATTCTCTGAGCCTGTTGGTCACCATTGGGCACTTTGGAAGGCCAGCACTCATGTGAGCACCCAAAGCTGTGTCTTTGTTCCAATGTTGGGCTCTGCATTGTCATTGCCCCCAGATAGGACAGTTGGGGAAGCACCAACTTGGCAGCATCTCAGTGACACAATACCCCACTGCTTCATGCTCCTGGCTTGCTCTCATTCCTCACAGGGGTGGGGTTTTGACGTGAAGGATGAGGTTTAGGGCAGCAGTGTGCTGATGTGTGGGTCAGGTGAGGCTTTGTGTATAGGTACCTGTCAGCACCTGAAACATGCTGGTTTCCCCTGGCACTTCCCAACGGCCAAGGCAGATGACCCACCTCTGGCTCTTGATTTCAACAGTGTCTCCGGTCAGCCCTGTGTGAGCAGCATGGTCCTAGAGCACCCTGTGGAATGATGGAGCCCCTGAAGCCATTTCCTCACTCAAAATTTTTGCCCTCCTTGCTCTATTTTGAACAGCTCAAGCCCACAGCTCACAAAAGATATTTCATCTCATTTCCTTTTTTCTTTGATAATTCATAACATTTTCTTTGAAATGTAAGCATTGTTGGCAAGGACTGTTACAATTTGAATAGCTAACACTACAGAACATAGATAATTTAATCCTATACTTTCTTTGTAAGTTTTTGATTAGACAATATATTTAAAGGTCTAAAAACAAAACAAAATGTACCATGAAAAGTCTCTGTCTTTCCACTCCCATCTACCCTAGATGAGTAACCACTGTAAATATTTTTTGTTTTCTTCCAGAACTCCTTTGTACATATGTATATAAATGCACATAAAGGCTTACTGTCTCCCTTTTTACACACAAAGTTGTATATTATACATACAGTGCTGTACTTCATTTTTTTTCATATAACAATGTATCTTGAAAATTTTTCCATATCAATTCATAGAGGATGTCCTCATTATTTTTTACTGCTGCTTAATATTCCACTGGAAACCCTGGTGGCGTAGTGGTTAAGTGCTGTGGCTGCTAATCAAAAGGTTGGCAGTTCAAATCCACCAGGTGCTCCTTGGAAACTCTACGGGGCAGTTCAACTCTGTCCTCTAGGGTCACTATGAGTCAGAGTCGACTCGATGGCAACGGGTTTAATATTCCACTGTGTGGATATACCATACTTTATTTAACCAGTCCCCTACAAATAAATTCTTGAGTTGTTTCTAGTCTTTTGCTGCTCTAACCTTGTATCTATATCACTTCACACATGTGCAAGTCTAGCTGTAAAATAATTTCCCAGAGGTGCACTTGCTGTATTAAAGGGATTTGTGATTTTGATAGATTTTGCCAAACTGTCTATCAGAGGTGGGTAACCCATATACTCCCATCAGAATTGCCTGAGAATGTCTGTTCACAGCCTTGCTAGTACAGTGTTTCATCAGCTGACCACATGGTATGGTGGCACCAGCTGTGGGACAAAACTGTGCCTCTAAGAGGGATATGCAGTACAGGGGTGGTAGACCACCTAGCGATTAAGGATGTAGTCTCTGGGCTCAGGCTGCCTGAGCTCAAATTCTCAGCAAATCACTTAATCTTTCCAAACCTCAATTTTCTCATCTGCAAAATGGGGAAGTAACATCACCTACTTTGGGGGGTCATTTTGAGGATTAGGTGAGGTAATGGATGTAAAAAGGGCTTCACACAGTGCCTGACACATGGCTATGGGAGGCTGGCTGTGCACTTACCAGCAGGGTGACCTCCGGCAAGGTTCCCTGGTCTAAGCCTCACTCTGTTTCCTCTTCTTGTTAGGGAGGGCTGGGCTTGTGGGTGTCTCAGATCCTCTTCCCAGTCTCGGTGTCTCACATGTCTTTCTTCAGTGACTTAAATAAGTTCCACTCACCTTTCCTCTCTCATGCTCATCAAAGGTATTCAGGAGTCTCCAGTCCCGAATGGCCACTCACTTCCGGGCAGAGATTTCCTTCGGAAGCAGATGCGGGGAGACCTGTTCACGCAGCAGCAGCTGGAGGTGCTGGACCGTGTGTTTGAGAGGCAGCACTACTCGGACATCTTCACCACCACAGAGCCCATCAAGCCTGAGCAGGTACGCCCCATAACTCACTGCCCGCCACACCTACCTCCGAAATGCAGGCCTGGGTCACTCTCTCCTTGGCAAAGGTGTCTGGTAGGGTGTAGGCAAGAGTTTGGCAGGTTCTACTCAGAGGTGAGCTTTGTGTTGTTCTTGGCCAAACTTGGCAAATCATAGCATCCCACGAGGTCAGGAGGATTTGTTTGAGGCTCTGGCGACTTTTTGCCTCAGTACCTCTGTCTCACTGGCCAGCCTGGGCCTGCTCTGCCATTGCTGAATGGTATCTTTCCCAAGGCTTTTTGGACAGGGGGCCGTAATGATCGCCTGGGCCACTGGGGTTAAGGTGGTCTTGGGTCATTGTCCAGTCAGTCAGGGTGATGGTGAAAGTATGTATCCACCATATGGCCTGGGGTCTTACCAGCTGTAACATTACCACAGTACTGCCAGCCCTCTAGTCAGGACTCCCCGTCATCCTTTTCGAAGATGAACTCAAGAGTCTAGAAATGAAGAAGTGTCTCATTGGACAAACTCCTTCCTCTAGATTTTGTACCAGAGAGGAAAGTGCAGGAGGACCATCCCTCAGTGAGTAGCTGCCCTGTCCTACGCTGGGCAGAGGAGCAGGCACTGCCTGGGACTGTGGAGGGAGGACCAGAGAGGTGCTTCCCAGAGAGAGACTCTCTGGGTCTGGAGAAGGCCCCTGAAGTGCCAGACTGAATTCAGAAAGTGTTTCCTGATGCCAAGTCAGTGCCAGGCCCTGGGCTGGTTACCTCTCAGGCACAGAAGACTCATACATGGTTCCTGCCTGCCAGGAGCTCACACTGGTGGTTGAGTCAGAGTCTATAAGCAATAACTTTCCCCAGCATTTTCCTAGCTGGCATCTGGTGGTGAGGCCTGGCCTCCCTGAGCTGCCTCTAAATGGTAATAGATGAGTCTGGAGAGGAAGCCATGCTTCTGGAGTTTTCCCAAAGTCATTCAAAGCAATGTAGGCTGTGTGCACATGTTGCCAGGGAGCGGAGCTTGGGCGGGGGTAGTGAGCAAGGTCTTGGGGACTACCATGCTATGAGAGTCTGATTGTCTCTGAGCAGTTCCTATGAGGGCCCTCAAAGACCATCTAGCTGCTTTGCTTCCAAACGGGGAAAGTGAGGTCCAGAGAGGCAAAGAGGCTTGCCTAGGGCCACACAGCAAATCATGTATTCATTTAATAAATATTTATTGAGTGTCTACTATGTGCAAGACACAGAGCCAAACACTGGGGGTACATCATGAGCAAAACAGGCTTGGACCTGCCTTCAGGGAGCTTACAGATGAGCAGAAGAATCCTAGTAAATAAGAATTACCCCAAGGATTGTGGATTACAGGTGTGCTTGGTCCTGAGAAGGAAATATCTGGGGTTCTCTGAGAGCACAGAGCAGGGGCTGAACCAGCCTCAATGAGTCCCTGGGGAAATGCATTTATGCTGAGCCCTGAAGGGGTTGCAGAACCAGGAGAAGGGACATGGGGGTGGGGAGAATGTGCCTGGCAGAGGGAAAAGCAGGTACAAAGATCTTGAGGTGAGATGGAGCATGGCTGGGATACAGGGAACGGGGGTGGGGG